TACTCATTATTTTTCGGCATCAATGTTAGGTACCGTAAAATTTAAGAGTATTTATTTGCTAAGTGTATTATCAACATGTTTGAAATTTGTTTTTTCGATCCCGATGAATCTCACTGTTTATGTTGAGATTGTAATTTGAATTAAATCAAATAATTCACAAACAGACAGTATAAAAACATTAACGACAAAACCATCCAAACTTTTACATTTAAGAGCTATAAAATAGGATTATCATGCTCTCTCTTTCTAGATCCTTCAAAGATGATCTACTACCACTCAATTTGAAAATATCCACAAAACCCTGTAGTGTGGTGTCGAGTCACGGTTGACTATGACCACCACTACAGGAAGACTACGTGCCAGTTAACCGATAAGATCCCCCGTAGGCCAAATATCAGAAGGCATTTGATGTCTGTAGTCGAGATTTACTTGTTGGCGATCTCGTGGTATCGAAAGAATACCGAGATCGTACCAGGTTACAAGTGTGGTTATGAACGTAAACGAATTCGTTCAAGGTCACAATCCACGAAATAATGTGTGTATTTTGGCACAGTTAAACAAACCAATAAGGTGTGAAGCAGTCACCAGTGGAGTTCAACCAGGTCTGCTGTGAGATAGTAACTCACTGAAGACAATGGTGGATGTGTCGCTCAATTTCGTGGATTGTTAGAATTTGAACATTTACACCGTTTTGGGTTTGAATCTCACGAGGCGGGATCGTGTATGGACACTGCTCAGGAGTCCCATAATAGGACGAAATGGCCATCCAGTGTTTCCAAGTCTTCCATGGTGGTCTAGCTTCAACTGACACATGATCTCAACCATTGAAATTACTATAATATCCACAAAACCCCTTCTGATATGAAATATAACATTAACTCAAATCACACCGTGAAAATCTTATTTTACTTTATTATTATTAAGTCTAATCATCATATTACATTCATTTATTACTAACTTCATATAAAAGATGTATTTTAAAAGCACATTAAATCTGCATGAAAATTTGTTGTATTAACTGACAGACCTAACATTTGTTCTTTCTAGGTTATATCCTTTCCAATATTGGTTTACATAAACATTGTACAAGGTATTTAGTTGCTGATTTTCTAAGATTTCTTAAATACGAGACTAGAATACGTTTTTTGTAAAATATTTTTTCTCATCATAAAGAAAAGACTTATATTTTGTCGTAGAACTTTCATAAGTTGATTGATTTTCATTTTTCATTGAAAGAAAACCTTTGAATTTCTAATTAGCAATAAGAGAATAAGAGTAATCTAACGTGCATTAATTTGTTTTTTTAATCATTAATAGACATAATAATCATCGAATGTATATGTTCGAATAAGAAAAACGTAACGTTTAACAGGCTAAATTCCAAATAATTACTTTATTTCAATAGTTGAGATCATGAATCAATTGAAGCAAGACCACCATGGCAAACCTAGAAACACTGAACGGCCGTTTCGTCCTATTGTGAGACTGCTCAACAGTGCGAATCCACGATCCCGCCTCGCTGGATTCGAACCCAGGACCCATTAGTTTCGAGCACGAGCGCTTAACCACTAGACTTCATTTGTCTTATGAAACCTCAAAAGATTTATTTGTACTTGAAATGGATAGTTTCTTAATCAGTGCATAATCAAGCTATTATCTGTAAGAAACTGTATTCGATAACAATCTGTGGTTGTGTGCTGTTGATGTCGACAGATATAATTAGTAAGTATCATCAGACGAAAGTGGAATACTTGGAGGTAGAAGATTGAGAAAATTGAAAAAAGAGAACGAGAACAGTGAGTGATTGGTATGGAAACTAAAGGGACAACAAAGTATGAGGCAACTGATAAATATTTTGCAAATAAAGTATATACTGTATGGTTCTCAGATTTTAGCAAGATATTGTGTAATGTTGCATTAAAATACATTTGGTTGTCCCCATTTATGTTCTTGTTCACTACAGCTGTATTAGTTAAAAGTCATAGAATATATTTACTTAAGGTTCATATAAACTTTATATCCGGATTAGTAAACGTTTTGGGTATCAAATGTTTTTCGCCTGTAGATTTCATAATTTTTCCACTATCCTCATTGTGTTTATCACACCAAATCACTGGATAATATTCAGTAATTTGATTTATCTTATTTAATTCTTATTGCTTGAATGTGAACCTACCTTTTCCAATCCATTATAAATAGAACATTGATCTCATCAGCTTTTAAAGTTATTACTAAGTCTGAGTTCATTTGCATACCTTTGACAATATCTACTTTTTCACTTGACTATTCTTTAAATATATGTACATATCTGTCAATCATATTAAAGCTTATAATATATGGATGCTAATACATGATTGACGGAATCTATCGGTTACAGAAACAATTTGCGAGTTTGTTCAACTGCTGTTAAATGCATATCGAGATTGATTCCCCTATTTATATCCTTTGGGGATATGTAAAGTGACAAACACAGTGCGATGTGATGCAGTATTTTAAATTCTGTTAAATATAGTAGATAAACAAGAACCTTGTGTCTTTTAATTACGTTGACATTGAATGCATTTTAAAATATATTGACTGCAGACTTAGTGCTTTATGTAAACTTTTACAACGCTCGGTTTTACTTCGTCTAATGTTATAACGGTTGGGTTCCCACGTTTACACGTATGGGACGTTAATTTACCTCAGACGAATATCTACACGAGATTTCGGTCTAGTGTTAATTCTACAGGACATCAACACAACTCAGATCAAAAACACATGATTAGCCTTACCACAACGTAAATATATTTCCACACCAAAAACCCAACACAATCCAACAATAATGAACAATCAGTAATAAGTATCTACATATCTACATATGTGACTAAGCAGACAACCTATCATTATCATTCTCGCCCATACATCATAAACATTAAACTTTTTTCAATATTTGACATATTTCAGGTATCAAAAGCAAAAATCTAGATGCTCTACAAGTTTCTCGCCATATGAATTCTAACCAAATGGCATGATCCTAATTACATTCAGTGAGGAACGCACATATTACGCACATCATAATTTCATCGGTATTTCTAAATCAGGAGCTATATGGTTTTGTTAAACAGTGAACTACATTAATTCAAATACAAAGAGAGAGAAAATAAAGACTCGTATTTAGGCTATATGAAAGTACAGAAAATGAGAACGTGGATGTACGTATTAGTTGTAATCGTGCACAAGGATGCATGCAGTTACCTTTGGCCATAATCACGTATCTAACATAAATAAGAATACTTAAGTACTTTATCGATTTAATCTGCAGTTTTCACAGAATGCTTTTTTCATTAGCAGCTTAGCGCTTGTTCAGATATAACTAGTAAAGCGATGAAGACATTTAAAACGAAAAATATGTTATTTCAGAGTTGTCATACACTTATATTCAAAGCATATTTGTCATAACCAAATTAACTTGAAAAACATTTCAAAATGATTCTATCAACTTAGAACTCTACAGACAGGATGGTTATTTTCTCAAGGTGAATATGTATATTTCAAGGATAAAGTATCGTTTTCGATCACTTCTACACATATGAATCAATTCAACTGCTTTGACAGATCCAGTTATGTGTATCATAACCTGAGAGTAGTTCTTTCATTCCAATTAATCTAAACATGAATTAATACAAGTAAACGTCACACTCAAGCTCTACACAATTTATTTATAACGAGGTACACGGTCCCAAATCATTTTATATAACATACCATACAGAAAATTCATTGGGAAACTTCAAGAAAATATATCTACTTGACAATGCTACTGATATGGCGAACCAATGAGAAGTGACCAAATGAAAAGATTAATTAATGCTAATCAAAGGTGACCTATAGGACAAATGTATATCATTGGCTAAGAAGTGGATTGATTTTCCAGGGGGTATATATACATATATAAACAAGCATTTGTATATTTTATGCGGTAGTCCAATATAATTTCTCGTCCAATCTTATGTTCTTGTAGTTCCTCATGTATCTATATCGGATTTCGGACACCGCTTATCATAACAACTACATATTTTACAAATTAACTTAACACATATATACAAAATAATAAACTCCATATTCACTTTTCTCTACTCCCGTTTTTTTACATAAACTTTTATTTCTTTGAAAAAGCTTGAACCAGATTGCCGGACCAAACGTTGAATTTACTTCAAATGTTTTCGCTGAAATTTTACAAATACATTCTTCCGCTTTTATACCTTACATTAATTCAGCATTTCTCCGATACAACACAGCATGCACCAATCCAATCACAATTGACGGAGAAGATCTGGAAGATGTAAAAACCTTTACATATTTAAGCAGCACCATTGATGAACACGTGGATCGGTAAAGCAAGAGCAGCATATTTACAACTGAAGAACATCTGAAACTCAAGGCAACTGTCAACCAACACCAAGGTCAGGATTTTCAATACAAATGTCAAGACAGTTCTACTGTATGAGGTGAAAACCTGGAAAACTACCAAAGCCATCATCCAGAAGATACAAGTGTTTATTAACGGATGTCTACGTAAAATAGTTCGGATCCGTTGACCAAACACTATTAGCAACAACAAACTGTGGAAAAGAACAAACCAGATTTCAACGGAGCAAAAAATCAGGAAGAAGCGGTGAAAGTGGATAGAACACACATTGAGGAAAGCACCCAACTGTGTCACAAGGCAAGCCCTCACTCGGAATCCTCAAGGCCAAAGGAGAAGGGGACGATCAAAGAACACATTACGCTGGGAAATGGAGGTAGACATAAGAAAAATGAACAATAATTGGTTGGAATTAGAAAAGAAGGCCCAGAACAGAGTGAGTTGGAGAATATTGGTCGGCGGTTTATGCTTCAGTAGGAGTAACAGGCGTAAGTAAGTAAGTAATTAATTCAGCGTCCAAATACTATGAAACTATTCAATCAAATTTAAAAGAAAACTCTTATTTAAATTTATTTATAGATGAAAATATCAATCTATTCTTTTCAATATCCTTTATTTAATTCAAACAATTTAAATTCATTTAACTAAAGTAATAAAAGAAAACCTAATCAAAATAATAATTATTAATGTACTACTAACAAGTTAATGAATTTAATTCAATAATATAAAGAAAAAACAATAATAATTCATTTATATTCAATTAGAACAAAGTAACATTATATAATATGAATTGTGTAAAATATTTAAACAATATATTCATAAGAATAAAAAAAAGAAGTCATAGTAATAACTGATGAACTAATCAATTAGCTACAATGTTAAGACCAGGTACATATATATATCTTGGTTCGAGTTCTTATACCTTATTAACAAAGAAAAAAAAGCGATGAATAAAATAAAGTGTTTAGATAGGAAAGAAAAAAACAAAAACAAAGCCATGGTATAGAATTATAAATCATGTAGATTATGTTTATTGAATTTTATTCATTGTATATTTTTTCCCCTTTAGTTACTATTTTCATTTCTGTATTTCACATATTATCATTGACTAAATAATAGAAGGTGAACTACCATTTTTTTAATTATGTTCTTATGATATTACTTTAAATTCATTCTCTTTTATGTATGTTTATTTTGGAATCATCAGCAGATAAACTTCTTTTTATCATTGAACAATTAGTATTCATTCTATGATAATGATGTAATCTATGATATATGACATGATTGAATTTATTATTATTATATTGATAATTAGGTATCATTTCCATATGGATATAATATGGTTTAGAATATTTTAAACGACAATGTTTACATAAATCATTATTATATTCATTAAAAGATGATGATGATGTGGTTCGTGATGATGACGATGATGGTGATGATGATGATGAAAATAAACTTAACCATTTATAATTATTTAATCTTTCTGATAATGGTAAATAATTTAAATTTTTCATAGAATGTTTATTACAATTTAAATGATGTAATTCTATATTCATAATTAAATCACCACATGTTGATATCAACCCTTTCTTGATATGTTCATGTTTGATATGTAAATCATTTGAATTTTTATGAATTTTCTTTAATTTATTTACAGTAATTTGATCATTCAATGATCCAGTTCTTCTTCTTCTTCTTGTTGTTCTTATTCTTCTTTCTGATAATGTTTGTTTTAATTGATTATTTTTAGAGATCATATTTTCATTATCATTTTTGTTATTGATTTGTTGATTTGATTTATTGATTATTAATTGAGATGAATTTTCACCTAATGATTGAATATAATTCATTGATTTATTTTGTTTTTGTAATTGATTTATCATTTTAGATTCAGTTATAAATTGTTTATTATTTTCATTAATATTTAAATTCCAATTTGGTATAATATTCGTTTCAGTAATATATATATGTGGAAGATTAGTTTGTACTGAATTATTTTTTAAATTAGAATCAATATGAATTAATTTATGATGATGATTATTATTAGTGAAACCAATTTGTGTACTAGTTTCATTCAATAAAATTAATCCATAACAATCGGTTGTTTTAGTTAAATGATTTATTATTTCTTTATTATTATTATCATTATTAATTATTTTATTAGAAGAAATATAACTGGATTGTGATTCTATTAACCAACTTTTTATTACATCTTTTACATATGATACATTAGCTATAATCATTTGTTTATTTACTGTTTGAATTTGTGTAGAAATATCATTTGAGAATATTGATGAAGGTAAGTTTACTTGAAACTTTTTACCTAACATAATTGGTGAATCCATTAAAAATGATGATGAATTGCATATTTGATTAGAATATTTTTTTGTATGTTTTATGGAATCATGACATAATTGATTTATAGGATGAGTAATATTGTTGTTTACTGTTAAAGATGGTCCAATTTGACATGAAACAGAAAATTTTAACGGAGATGATATTCTTGTACTAGATGCATTAGTTAGTTGAGATAGATTCCTTGAAGATGTTTCATAACTTTTTGATCTTTTATCATATCTTGTATACATTCTTGAACTATCATTATATTCGTTGACTTGGTCACTGGTAGTAGATAATAATGAATGAAAATCTTCACTCTTAATTGGTTCAGTACTTCGATTCTGTTTTACTGTGCCAATTTGACAACAAACATCCCATACTTTTACACCATTAGATTTAGATCTACGATGAGTAACTCTGTCAGTTTTTTCTTCTGTTTTACTAGGAATTGAGTGTGATGAATGATAAAACTTTTGCTCTAAAATCATATCATTTATAAAATTACATTGCACAGAACTATCTTCACTGTAAACTTTGTGTATATTTTTATAACAATGCTGACACACAGTTTCTGAACTTATAAGATTTCGTTGATTATTTGACTCTGCATCTAATAAAATCGTATCTAATTGTCTTGAAATATACACCTCCATATCAGTTTGAATACCTGAATCAATTGTGTTGTACATTTGACTTTCATTGTGAATAATACCATTTTCAAATGAATATCTCTTTGCATGTTTTCGGCTTTTCATTTTAATTCTGTCGCTGTAAGCATTTATAAATTTGTTTTTTTCTCGATCATTAACCGGTATCATTTGCGTAGCTGGCCACCATTTACTGTCAGTAGGAGGAGTATATCCCCATGGTGTACCTTGTTGTATCCAACTATATGATCTTACTGCTGAATTTCTGTTTTCATCGAAATTTCCCTGATCTTCGTTTAGGTCTGAAAACTGAGTGGGTGAACGATAACTACATTCTCTAACAGATTCACTTGGAGTAATATTTAATGGAGACCTTCTACCTGGTGGACCTGGCTCAGTATTCGGACTTTCAGGAGCATGGGACTCATCCTTAATTGTACGTTTGCCACGTTTATACCACCATAGAAAAGATCTTTTATTTGTTCTACTTCTATGGCTTTCAGAGTAAACCTCATCATGCATTTGAGATCTTGTTTTTTCTTTTGTACTGATAGAAGACTCCGATGGACTATCAAATCCTGAACTTGCTGTAGTCTCAGTGAGACTAGCATTTAAACTATATGGTCTACATTTTTTTGTTCCCTTTGATCTGGAAAGTTTTTTTATAGCACTACATTTTTTATTTCTAAACGTTGATACTCTATCATCAACAATACTAGAATCTTTAGTTTCAATAGACAAACTTGGCATTGAATGAGCCGTTTTTAGTCGAACTTCTGATATATCACTTACTTCGCTAGAAGAATTCAAATTTGAGTTAGATGCTTCTGGTTTACAAATAAGCGGTGACAATAAACTGATTTCATGAAATTCTGAACAATTTGTACAATAAGCAACAGCTGAATAAAATGGTGAATCAATTTGAGTCATTAGTTCTTTTGTCTGTTTATCAAAATTTGGAAGATTTTCTAACATTTGGTCACTCTGACATCGTAAAACATTTTTCATGAGAGGAGATTCATGTATTCGATGGTCGTGTACTGTTGTATGCTTGTTTAATGTAAATGTTTTAGGTATATTCTCGGTGAAACATGTTATTAGCTGTTTTTCATTATGTTTTCTATTTATTTCATTTGGATACATTGTTTTGTTTTTATTTGTTACTTTACATACTGAAGGCCTAAAAATAATTAGAAAAAAACTAGTCAAAATAATATAAAATACTGATTCGCTAAGAGACATGAAGTATACCCATTCAGAAATAAATTACATCACCAGTACATATTGAAAGTAGAAAATAAGAATCATAGTAATAATCACACAGTTTAAAGAGGAATAATTACCCCAAACAGTAGACTAATCACGTAAATAGATTAAAACACAAAACAGCGATATTCATACATTCGATTTGTCTCATCCATTTCTTGATATTCATAGCTAGTTCCAGTGATTAATTTTATGAGACAAATACATTCATAAAACTGTCTGTAGCTCTCCTAGAGTTACTGACGGTCCCAAACCCAAGTACAGGAAGAGGTTTGGGCATAGGTCGGCAACCCCATACCGTACAAAAAATCTCGCTAAAAAAACGCCAACCAGATTAAACAAATTAATTCATTTAAACTCTGTCTTCTGAGTTGTGGAAAGAATTATGACACCTCATGATGAAAGCCAAGATTCTTCGGAAGTCATGAGGTCAATGCTCATTCTAACAACCAGATCAATTATTTTAGGTAGATGGAGTATCCGAAGACCGGCAGTATCAGTCAAATAGCTGTGGAAATGAGGAGATACAACACGACATTACTCAGAATCAACGAGATCCATTAAAAAGATAGGTTCGGGAGAGATGTTGCCACACTCCGATCACGAAGAGGAAAATGCATCACACACTCAAGGAGTTGCCCTGATTCTGTCCAAAGAAGCACGAAATGCACATATATGATGGGAATCTCACAGATCCAGAATCATCAAAGCATCCTTTAAAACAAAGAGGGAGGGAATCACGATGAATGTTATCCAGTAGTATGCAACCACGAATGATAGCAACGACGTCAATAAGCATCAGTCCTATGAGAGACTGCAATCAAACATAGCGAAGTGCCCAATAAAGGAGCTCACCATTCTGATGGGAGGTCTAAACGCCAAAGTCGTAATGGACAACACCAGATAGGAAGATATCATGGGACGACATGGACTGACTGGGATGAATGAACGAGAAAGGCGACAGATTTTGAAATTTATGTGCATTCAACAAATTGGTTATAGGCGGCACATTATTCCCATACAAATGTATACACATGGGTTTATACATGGGTATATACATGGGTTTCATGGAACCAAATTACAAAGAACATGATCAATCATACTTGCATCACTAAAAATTCCGAGGGACAACAGAGGACGTGAGAACCAGGGGTGAAGCTGAAATAGTTTTAAATCATCACGTAGTTTTGGCCAAGATGAAACTGAGGCTAAAGAAACACTGGACAACCGGCGAAACAGCATTACAAAGGTTCAATACAACATTCCTTCGAGATACTGTCAAACTCAACTAATTCAAGATAACTCTCAGCAGCAGGTTCCAAGCCTCACAGGATCTACTAAAAGAAGGAGAAACTACGATGTAGGAAAATTGGAAAGGGATAAAAGAAGCATTAACTTCAACAAATCAAAAGGTCTCGGGCTGAAAGAAGCATCATCATAAGGAATGGATCTCCATGGACACCCTAGACAAGATTCAAGAAATGAAGAACAAAAAGGCACTAATTAACAACAGCCGAACACGAGAAGAGAAAGTCAAGGCGCAAGCTGAATACACAGAGGCAAACAAGGAAGTGAAGAGGAGAATTAGAGCCGACAAGCAGAAATACTTGGAAGAGCTAGTAATGACAGTGGATATATAAACATTATCTCTCCCTATTTAATTCATATTTGCAGTTGACTACTCGTAATGGTAATAAGTACACTGTTTTTTATCACTTCAAGTATTATACTTCATTCGTCGGAAAAAAAACTTACGAAAGCTTTAAATATAAATCTTCGTTTTTTAGTGTTGTGAGACTTTGATCATTAGCTTCATTCTCGGATGTATTCGCCACTGCTTCATTAAATTTCTGTAAAAGGATCTAAAAAACCATAAAAAGTATTGCTATGGGTATAGATACTAGTAAATAATATGAGCTTTTTTATTACAGTTTAAAGGAATCTAGCAACTACTCAACTACTCTGTCGAATCAAGGGCACAACTCGTTTACATTGATAACTTGCAAGCTATTATTTGGTCAAGAGAAATATATTCTATTTCATAAATCGATTGAAATGTGTGTTATCTTGATGTGATTCTGCGATTGCGATATGAATAAAAGACAATTGTTCTCATTCTGTGATCAGAAACTTTCAAACAAGTTTTCTCTATTCTATTTCCTTACAATCAAATTAATTAACTGAGGTTACTGATTAGCAAACATTCAAAGTTTCAGCAATGCACTTTGAATTGTTTAATTTTACAAATGATACGTGAATCCAATCTAATTGATGACTTCATCGTTCTGCTTACTTTGTAAATCACTGCACTATCAACATAAAGTTTATTAGCCCGAATGGTTCCCATCAAATAATTGTAGTATAATATGCATGCGAATCGATCTACCATTAAGCCAATATTAATTTCATCGGTATCATTTCAGTATGGGAATAAATGAACACATATAAGTAGACAATCAAGTCTTTAAGTACAAGATCCTACAGAATGCATTATATCCATTAAAATTAAAATAACTATTTAAAATAGATGTATCGTCTATCAACTAATGGGAGAATAATAACCTATATGTTTAATATTTTCCGAATTCTAGTTTGTCTATATGAGCGAATAATTGGATGACTCTTCTTCTTAACATTTAAGATTGTGCAGTTGATGAAAATGATGTAAATCCCATACACATAACATATGTTTGCAAAAGAAGATATTTGAAGCTCCGTCAGAGATCATTTGTCAGATCAAATGGATCAGTTTCGCATTCATTGCTACACTTAACTGACTATAGAACAGGGATTGCATAATTTTATTTAACCAAAAGTCTCGACTGAAATGCGTTGAACAAGCGTTTAATCTTACTATTAAATTAATTATTTTAATATTGCTTACCCTTTAATTTTGTTAAAGGGGTTAGAGACAATCATGTATTATTATCAATAAAGGTATACTACAACTGTAAAATGAATACTTATTTGGTATCCTACGATATGAATGCATTGTAATAAATTATTGATTATCATTTGAATTACGATATTGTGAAATTACTATTTATCTCTCATTCACAATTCATATATGTTGCATTTTTTTAATAGTATGAACAGTTTCCTAGCAGTAACAAACAATCATCTCATAATATACTTATTTCAATAAAAGAAAATTTTTATTATAGATTTTTCACTTTGCATTTCAATAATCCCATATTTCACTGGTTGACATCATGGATCAATTAAAGCTAGACCAGCATGGAAAACCTGGAAGCACTGGACGGCCGTTTCGTCCTAGTACCGGACCCCTCAGCGGTGTGCGTTCACGTAGAGTTCCACCAGGTCTGTTTTGAGATATAAACTCACTGAAGACAATGGTGTACGGTGGCGCAACTTCGTGGATTGGTTGGAGTTAGACATTAACACCGTCGGATACCGGCTTAGTGGTCTAGTTGGTTAAGCGCCTGGCGCGAGACTGATAGGTCCTGGGTTCGAATCTCGGGGAATGCGGGATCGTGGATGCTCACTGCTGAGGAGTCCCATACTAGGACGAAACAGCCGTCCAGTGCTATCAGGTTTTCCATGGTGGTCCAGCTTCAATTGACTCATGATTTCAATCAGTGAAATTTCTAAAATCTCCACAAAACCTTCTGATAATCCCATCTTTGTTTAAATGTTTAATCCAGTCCATTATTGATTAAGGATTATGTCAAATACTTTAACCGAAGTTATGTAAAAACAAAATATTCTATAGTAGTAACAATACATAATATTGTTATGTTGCAATAAGCATTATGAATGTTAACTTTTGGGATCCATTTATGGGCCAATACAGTGAGTACATTTTTATTGTATAATTGTTAAATAACTAAACTATTCATATTCATATTCCTCTTATTATAAACTTTTTTTGACCTATTATTGTACTAGTTAGCATTCTTGAATTATGCCCTGTCTATTAATTACAGTCAACCACATTCACAGCCACATTTGGCTAAATCTTGTACAAATGTCACTTTCTATTTTACGGTACGGTGTGGTCTGTTTGGTTCGTGTATAAACCCAGTATGTTTGAAATACATTATTCATATTGCAAAGGCTAAGGTTAGTGTTCTAAACTTAACTGGATGCGTTAGGCAGAAAGCAGAACTAATAAGGACTATAGACTGCTCGAACGGGTTTATTGAGTCATTGATCCGATCGATAATTCACAGTTCTCTAATTGGCGGTATCATCACGTTATACATTGATAGGGGCACAAACCTGCAAGTTATAACAAATATAAATGAATTTTATAATAAATTCTACATATTACATTAATTTACCTTCCATGTCTTTACTGTTTCAGTTAAGTGGTGAATATTCTCCCTTTTTATATGTATAATAGTATCTGAAATATACAGATAATCAAAAGTGACAATACAAATCTACTGGGAAATTAATCTGATTGCAGCACTTTGATATTAATCACTAAGAGTTAATTAAATATTAGAAATCAATTGTTTCCATGTAACATATAAAATTAGAATTGTAAAAATATTCTATTTCTGTTTACAAATCAGTGAGTATTTCAATGATTTAATGCATATAAAATGAAATGAATTCACTTCATTCTACAGTATTCATTATTCTTGTTTTATAAAAGTATAACATGAGGATTAAGTGTATAATTAGATGTACATAAGCTAATTAAAATCAATTCAATTTATCAACTCAAGAAGTAAATCATCGACAAATACAAGATCAAGAATGAAATCTAAGGGAGAGACAATCAAAATAAATATATAGCTAGTGATAGGATAGATAATACAAAAAGCTAATCATTATCAAGATCAATAAGACAAGATTTCAATCGTCTTTTTAAAAAATTCAAATTCATTTATTACTTAGTGTTATATCCGAGAGAAGATTAAATCGTGAGTAACTTCTGAGACATATTAATTGACTAATATTATCTATACATTCTTATGGTATAACTATTCAATAATTAGGTTATCTATATTTATATTCCTCTTATTATAAGCTTTATTTTGACCTATAATTTATTATTGTACGATTTACGGTTCTTAAACTATGTTCAATTTTTTAACTACTGCCTCCCACGTTCACAGCCAATTTTTGGCTTTATTGTGTACAAATGTTATTTCTTATTTTATGGTGCGTTGCGGTCTGTTTGATTGATATATAAACCCAGTATGTCTAAAACAAAAGATTCGATTCGATTCGTATATTGGAAGCTGGTATTTAGTGTTCTAGACTCAAGTAGACGGGTTAGGAGGACATAGGTCCAATAAGGTCGCGAGACTATCCATATCGGTCGAACGTCATTGGTTTTGGCACAGTGCTAAGATTGTATGTCTTATTTTGATTGGTGGATAAATCACGTGACAAAAAGCCGGACATAAAGTCAAAACACTTAGAACTAAATACAGTGTAGTATTACATTCAGTATAATGTCTACCTGATAACTCAAAAATCTCTTGTTTATACTTTCCCATAAAATATACTTCTGTTATTGAGTAATACTTTTAGCATCAGAGATAGAAAGAGTTAACATTAATTCAAGAATAAAGATAACAAGAAAGAATATCATGTACATATTATATTAAAATCATCTATTAATCAAGGTGCTGTTCTTTCAAATTAAAAGATCAACCTTATGAATTTATCTTGATTTACACATTGAATGAGATAATGGTTTTACCTTAATGTAAATGTGTTCAAAATATTTTGTTTGATCTAATAAACTGTTATCCAAATAAATTGAACAGCATAGTTAACTTTCAACTAACACTAAGAGTTACAATGTCAGTAAAGCTAAAATATCCTATAAATAGCGGAATTATTTGTTTTCTTAAGGACTAGACAAGCAAGACATTGATCACCACCCAGTGATCAATCAATTGTAATTACATCTCAGTCCTACAGGAGGTTAGTCACGGCTCGGATAGCTCAGTGGTAACGTCTCTGACTGTGAAGCTGGGTGACACGAGATCGAATCCGCCAGGGAGCACCAGTTCCCTCAAGATTACAGGTACACCTTGACAGGGTTTCCTGTTGACTACCTCCAACCACCATCTAAAATCTCAATACATAGTGCCCGCAGTGTCGAGTCACCTAGACTGGTGGCCACATTGCAACATGATCGATAGCATTCGATCTGCACTAATAAGGACTAGACAAGCATGACATTGATCACCACCCAGTGATCAATCAATTGTGACTTTACGAATATTTCTTTTTTAATTTTCTAAATTGTACTTAAGTGTCTTATTGAGAAGTTTAATATTTCATACTATCAATCCTTATCGTAAACTAAACTTAAACTCTTTCTCACCTAATTTATTCAGTAAAAAAATGAGTGAAATAATGTACCTGAATGAAATTTTCTTATTGTCTGAATGTCTTATGAATATACAGATTCCTATGATAGTTACAGATTTTACTTTTTGATAAATACATTAACAAATTCTTACCTTTTGTTTTATGAGATCTATGAGATAACCATTTTAATGTTTCTAATTCCGGTTCATTGCCATATTCCAGAAGAGTTTGTAATGTATTTAAAAAGTCATTGAATTCTTGTGAATTCTCCACAATGATTGGTTGCTTATTAATAAAATATTTCGATAGAAAAAATTAAGGATCTTGGTGATATTATTAGATGAATTATTACATACTTTTTACAGTAACTCTTATTGCCTTTTATTCTGTTTCCTAGTCAATATCTACTCAAAAACATTGAGGACAGGATGATTGTCTTCACTAACTGATAGAATTTATTCACAATATAACGTCTTAAACAGCAATGCTACATTGATGCTAGAATTCGCAAAATCTGAAAAATCTCTTAAATAACTTTTTGTATAAAAGAATACGATAGATCTTAGTGATAGTATGAACTAAACCCTACAGACTTTAACATGCAATTATTCATCAAGGGAAAAGTTGTTATGTCCCGACGAGAATAATGAATGGTAACTTTGGGATCTATTGATGGATCAATACTAAACGTATATTTCTATTGTATAATTATTAAGTAACTAAACTATCCATATTCATATTCCTCTTATTATAAGCTTTATTTTGACCCATTAACTATTATTATACGTTTTACCATTCTTGAGTTATACCCAGTATATTAATTACTACCTCCCTCATTCACAACCACATCTGGCTAATTCTTGTACAAATGTTATTTCCTATTTTATTGTTGCGTTGTGGTCTGTTTGATTGGTAGATAAACTCAGTATGTTTGAAATATAATGATTCATATTGCAGAGGCTGAGACTGATGTTCCGGACTTAAGTGGCTGGGCTAGGTTGAAAGCAGGCCCATTCAGAACTCTAGGCTGCTCGCACGTGTTTTACGCGTCTTTGGTTCTATCGATAATTCGGTGCTTTTGATTGGCGGCTTTGGGCTATAACAAAAGTATGATCAGATAGCCATATTTCTGTTAATAACTTAGTATATCACATATGTCTCTATTATTTACATTAATGATATACTCGATATGCTTTATTTATCTGATGATAACCAGTAGTTTATTGGAGGTCATGATGGATCGTCATAAATAGAGATCATTTGAATCAACTACCCATCGGTTTCATGTCACTGAAATGCCGAAAATCATCAAATTAATCAGTTCCTATTATCTTAAAAATCAAAAGGTAAGTATATTAAGTATGGATCATCAATATATATGGCTTAATAACAATATTTTTGTACTCATACGCTAATATCAGTAGTATCAACCAGTAAGAATTACAAAACTAGATGTTACGGAGAGTGAATATAATCGTAAAGATCAAGAATCACTGACCTGCAAAACTTATATTCATTATTCTAAGCTTAAAATTATTGAATCAATTACAGCTAAACCACTATGGAAAACCTGGAATCATTATTATAGATCGATCGAAATCTATAGCCAAGTATTTGAACATTCTATGCTAATCTAACCCTTGTTTATTATAACACTATCAGGTCAAACTTTTGCTTAAATCAGTTAACATAACTGTTAATCATTTAATTATTTGTTACCATGTCAAAACATTATTCATTACAGGGAAATTAATCTACATCTTTGTTTTAAAAAAACCATCACTTACATCAATATTTTCAAGTTTTTTTATGTAATCCGTACATGTAGGCAACAATATTTTTGCAAAGAGATTAATAGCGATTTTCCATGAACTGTATAAATCTTTATGAAAACTAAATGAAAAAATGTTCAATTACAATAAAGTGATTTCAATTTTCACTAGAAAACTATTTAATGGTGTAAATGAACCTGTAAGCACTGGATGGTCGTTTCGTCCTAGTATGAGATTTCTCAGCATCGTGTTTCCACGATTCCACTTGAGAAATTCAAACCAAGTACTTTTAGTCTCACTCATAAACGTTTAATCGTAGCTTTGGGTACAAAGAAAAAGCTTCTCTCCAATAATTTTGTGGTATCCAGCACTTACATATATTGTTCATTCATTTAGTTAATGAGATTGGATATTAAAGCGTAATTTTCAATAAAGATTAACCCTCAGGCGGCTGAAAGTATCTACAACTATCGTGTATAAACATGTCATCATAGTGCAGTTTACACCCAAGATGAAAAAGCAAACAAATGTAGTCATTGTAAAGGTTTAAAATAAAAACATCAGTGGAGAGTACACTCAGATATGCTGCACTCACCAATTAAATGTTGGATGCAATACATGATGAATATCATTAATATTGTGGATAACGTTTCTTTTCCATGCAAAGAATGATGTTCAGCTGCTTCTTGGGCTTAGAAACAGCAAGTCAATATTCTTTTAATAATAAGATGTCATAATTTGACTTAGGTTGATCTTATTCTAAAAATATCTTAGAGTTATTATCACTTTGATTATAATCGCCTGATTATTTCTTATATAATTCTTAGTATTATTCTACTTATTACGTAATCATCTATCGAGCGTTTGGTTTGATGTGTAACCACATTATTATTTCTCACATACTGTGTTGCCTATATTCATTTTGATTTTTATTCTCTATAATTCCAAATGACCAATAAACTTATTCAAATCAACATTATATACTGATTATTTCAACATCGATAATTTTAGTTTCACAATCAATGTTATATGTGACATTTCCTTCTAAGTGCAGATCGAATAATATCGACTAAGTTGCAGTGGTAACGTCTCTGACTGTGAAGCTGGGTGACACGGGTTCAAATCCGTTAGGGAACACTAGTTCCCTCAAGATTAAAGGTAAACCTTGCTGATGAGTGCCAAGTAGTACGAAACCCGGGTTCAGCGTTTCCTGTTAACTTTCTCCAACCACTATATATTATTTTAGTTTATTTTACTAACAATCCTAAGTTGATATTGTTATTTATGAATTAACTATCCCTTTGGATCACTTATTGTAGAACATGATGAGGAATTATTGAAAATAATATTCTTTTCCCAGTTCATATATTTTTGTTTTTGTAAAATGAGAATTTTCTAAACTAAGATCATTTTGTTTCCATTATTGACTACTCATATTTCTTACAATTTCATTTATGTTAATTACATAATGAAAGTTAAATATAAAGCTGAAACTATAAGAATAATGAACAAATAATAATGGTAATGTTTTAAATAGAAATTTAACAACAAAGCAATACTGTAACCAAGTACATCAAACAAATAATAAGATGGAATTTGAAACACCAAATTAATACTGTTGTAACGTGTTGTAACGTTATGATAAGCAGCGTTTTATATCGATCGATCGCAGTGACACGTAAACACATACGAACGACCTAGAGTCCCGATTGACACTGCTTCCCTGTCTATCCCAGCCAGTTGAGTCCAGAACGAAAGTCACAGCCTCTGAGATATGAATAATCGTATTCCAGACATACTCTATTTATATACTAACCAAACATACCACATCGTGCCATAAAAATAGAAAACAACATTTTGTACAATATTCAACAAGTGAACAGATATCGACCAATAGGAAATGTCCATTTAAAGTCCAAGGACACCATTAGACTTAACAGGGTAATTATTGGTCAATCCTTCCGCATCCACAACAAATGCACAAGATAAATCAACATATTCATCCTTTTGGTTAGTTATTAATCTTCACAAGATAAAACAATTTATTAGGTAGAGAAGGTAATATTCACAGAATTATACAGCATAAACTATAATATCAAAGAACGAGACTATAATTTATGGATGAACCAATCAGATTTACAATAACAGGCGAAATTCATTCACCCATTTGGTTAAATAGAGTCTTGGCATTTTAGCCGATGTCAGTTCGTGATGAAAACCCTAAATGTAATTTCTAACTTTAACTATCAACTGTAAATCATTATCCTTATTCTTCAAACTGTTTTATAACACTCATTTAATCCTATTAAGTAGATAGACACTCCCATGGTCACCTTGGCGTCGCTCAAAGGTCGTCCATAAATTATAGTCTCATTGGAACATGTAAATCACTCAATTGTAATTTAATAATTGAATAATACTATACTTGACAAGAATCTTAAAAGTTTATAAATTTTAACACGACCATTGTATGGTTATGTGTATGAACTGTAGGAAAATCCAAAATTAAACTAAAACATCTTTTCAGTGCTTTCTGATTTTCAGTGATTGTTCAACTAATGTCATTTTACTGTAAAAATAATCTTAAATTAAGAATTTGGTAAGTAATGGTTTTGTATTGAATTACCTATCAAACTGACATCAGGCAGTTCTACTGTATGGAGCTGAAACTTGGAGAACTACAACAACCACAACCAAGAAGGTACAAGTATTTATAAATAGCTGTCTACGCAAGATACTCAACATCCGTTGGCCGGATACCATCAGCAATAGCCTTCTGTGGGAGAGAACAAACCAACTTCCAGCTGAAGAAGAAATTAGGAAAAGACGATGGAAATGGATAGGACATACATTACGCAAATCGTCAAACTGCATCACGAGGCAAGCCCTAACTTGAAATCCTGAAGGGAAGCGAAAAAGAGGAAGGCCAAAGAACACATTGCGTCGGATAATAGAAGCAGATATGAAAACGATGAATTACAACTGGACGGAGCTAGAAAGGATTGCCCAGGACAGGGTTGGATGGAGAATGCTGGTGAGCGGCCTATGCTCCTTCACGAGGAGTAACAGGCGTAAGTAAGTAAATAACCTATCAAACTATCCACAGGATACTTTCATTTAGAAATGAAACATAATATGGATTATTAAAATGTTTAAGGTGTCTCATTAACTTTGTTTTTACACAGATATTTGGATTTAGTTTGAAAAATCCATCTGTTTATTTTAGTGGTAAGACAATGACAATTATAGCGTAATATAGTAATGTGAAATAATCCCAAACGTTAACATCTACTAGGTACATTTTTTTAGATAATCATTTATCCTTTCCGTAAATTATGTTTTTGATATATATATCTATATATCGCTGGAAGTTGATAGGACACACATTGAAGAAAGCACCCAACTGTGTCACAGGACAAGCCCTCACTTGGAATCCTCAAAGCCAACGGAAAAGAGCAAGACCAAAGAACACATTACGTCGGAAAATGGAGATAGACATGAGAAAAATGAACGAGAATTGGATGAAACTAGAAAAGACGGCCCAGGACAGAGTGGGTTGGAGAATGCTGGTCGGCGGCCTATGCTCCATTAGGAGTAACAGGCGTAAGTAAGTAATGTATATACATATAATCATGGACTTAAATCTTGTTAGTAAATAACAGAAATAAATATGTCAAATACAAGGATAAAGTTTCGAATAGGTGTATTTTGCACAGTCGTTGATCAGAACAGACAGAGCGAATGAAATGAAAAGGAATGAGAGAAGCGAAACTGAATGATGCGCAGTGGAAAAGTTGAGGGGGCTAATACAATTTAACTAAGTGCGAATCAATATTTATAGTCAAACAAAAATAAGTTACTGACACATGATGAATAGGTTAAGTAATTGACACACATACGATCTATATAAAAACAAACAACAATAAGTGACAAGATAAAAATGTGGCTTGAGAAGAATGAATGGATTGATCCGTTCAGAAGCTAGAATAATCTTTGTGGGCTTGACATAGTACGTCTTCAAATACTTGATTTGATTTGTCATGAAACTTATGTTAATGCATAATGCAACAGTTAGACAATGAAAGTTAATGTGAGTAATAAATTGGAAATATATTCACAATACGTAATATGTGCTTTAAAAAGTTTTTAAATAACAGTTTGCTATTACAAAATACTATTCAACCTACCGTTTGCAAACATTTTTGGTTGATGAAACTTCTCCTAAAGTTTCATGATTTTCTTCATTTTCACAGGACTCTAATTGGTTGCTCTTATCTGATATTGGACTATGTTCTGGAGAAGTAAGCCAAAAACAAATTGAAGGTGCATTATTTATTTGTTCACCATCATTGACTTCAGCATTCCATTCACTATTTAATTTTGATACAAATTGATTACTTCCCCATACTTTAACAGAATCACCTCTATGAACCGATTGTCCAGATGGTAAACGTAGCGAGGCTAACAAGTATGCTGAATGTTTGCCTTGAGTTAATGAGTTACGAAGAAATATTGACCTCATTATTGATGATTTTGCCAAGAATTCTTTTGATTTGAGAGAAAGTCTTGTATATATGCTCTGTCAGAATGAATAATGTAAAAGTCTTTTATCAAGTAACAAGTCTACTTAATGATACAAATTTTTATCCTAACATTGTGTCATTAATAGTATATTTCAATTTTTTTCTTTAATTCTATAACTTACCAATTGAGTTTCTATCATATTTTTAACTGTTCCAAGAGCTTCATCAGTTAACAAACTTAATGAATCTAATTTTTCTTGAATTAGCGAATAACTCGAAAGAACTTGTTGTATTTCCATACGAGCTGCCCAAATTTCATGATGAAACTTGGGAGAGAAAAATGAAAGAGACAAATAACTAAGGAAATAAAATCAATCATGTGAGTAAATATGATAATTACATGAAGATAATTATTTGAAGACATTTGTGTTATCCTTATCAAATATAATACGTTCTAGCAAGTTTACAAATAATACTCAATAACCATTATCTATTTCTGAAGTATTTATTCGAGTTATCAGAATGAGTTTTGTGGAGATTTTAGAAATTTCACAGATTTAAATCATGAGTCAGTTGAAGCTAGACCACCATTGAAAACCTGGAAGCACTGGACGGCCGTTTCGTCCTAGTATGGGACTAAGTTTTTAACCCAGGACCTACTGGCTTCGCGCACGAGCACTTAACCATTAGACCACTGAGCCGGCATCCAACGGTGTTAATGTCTAACTTCAACCAATCGAGCCCCGTGTGGTGCGTGGTCGTGGATGCGCACTGCTGAGGAGTCCCATACTAGGACGAAACGGTCTGTATTTATTCGAGTTAAATATTTGTAGCTGATTTCTTTTAACGACTTAGATAAGAATTAATAGAATTCATCTACGGAAATGTTTTTTACATTGCTGAATCTAAAGTAAAAAAAAACACAAAAGCCAAGTGATCACAACTACGGGAAATCATGAACCGATTGTCAAGTTAGAATATACATTTCCAAAGCTCTCACCATAGTTTTCGTAGAAGAGAGTGTTAAATAAATAATCATAATACATCACTTCTTAAAAACACTTGTGATTATTCGAATGCGAACAACTAATCCTACTGTAACTATAGGAGTCAACAACAAATTGAAAATAGTTCCATCGATTTTAAAGAGTTATTGATTGTCTAACTTATTACATCAAAAGTATGAACCACATTGTATATTCATATTTAGTGTTCATTTTTACAATGTATCAACTAAAGTATCTATGAAATAAAACATTTGAATATGTAATAAGATGTATGAATAGGCTTAGCCACGAAATGATATAATTCCGAGAACCATTGAAAATCATAGAACGCTTAATAGTTGTTGCAATCTACTTTAAAATTCTTCGACAGTGTTTACCCATGACTTAATCAGCACTGAACTTACGACAAAAATGATCCAGTCAAAACACTGAGTGGCAATTCGATGGTACGAATTTTCACCTTCAATGTATGTCTAAGTCATTTGATCTCCCATCATAAATCTCAACCCAAGCTTCGAAAATAACGGTTTAGTGTATTCTAGTTTTTAACAAATCTAATTAATGATAGATCTTGATCATGTCTGTCTTCAAAACTAGATATTATTCCATAAATCGGTAAAGAAGATATGAAATATTCATTTCTATATTTATTATGCTTTATAACTAACCTTGTGATACTCATGTGATTTTGTGATATGAAATTGTATTGCTTCAGATAGTTGAGAAATGTATTTCCAACATCTGTCAACATTGTCACCAGTTTCCTAAAAGGAAAGCACTTGTTATCACATTATAATAACGTTGAAATTAATTGAAAATCTTCACTTACAAACCTGTTTCAAAGGATTGTAATGATTTTTCTTAACTGAATCAAGCTTATCTTTCTCTAGGGTTAAGGGTATAAAGAATTTCCTTTTGAATTAGTTTAAGATTTGTAACAATGTATTGCTACTTACAAAGCTTTTTTTCCAGATGACAGACACAAGAACCTCATTATAGATATAAGTTAAAGTAAAGCTGTGACATTAGAATCACTCACTTCTTCAAGTAACAGATGATAGTGATTCATATTATTTCTGTTAATATTTATAATATTTACCTTTTCCATATATAACAAGTTTTTAAGTAATTAAATGTTCTTCAGTTACATGACTTTTTGGAAATTGCCATTTGTTTATTCACTAATAAGGTAGATATCCATCAGTTTTATCAAGCTCGTCATTGTATTTGAAAATAAAACATGAAATTGAATATGAAATGACTACGAAACTAAATCTTAGCAATCTCATCCTAGAACTACTTGTTAGCCAATTATATAGTATCCGACGAAGTTTTGTGGATATTATAATAATTTTAATAGTTAAGATCATGAGTCAATTGAAGCTAGATCACCATGAAAAACCTGGAAGCACTGAACCGCCATTTCGTCTTAGTATGGGACTCCTCAACAGTGCGCATCCACGATACCACCCTGCGCACTACTGAGGGGTTCTACAATAGTGCTTCCAGGTTTTCCATGGTGGTCTAGCTTTAATTGACTCATGATCGCAACTATTAAAATTATTATATAGTAATATACACAGACAATATAAAGACAGTTGATTAGATACTTATCATCAATATACTCTACAACTTAGCAAATAAATAATTAGCAAGAAATTTTAGATCTTAGTTATTTCTGAAACGCCAGTCAACCACACGGGAATATTAGTAATTGTTCTCTTGTTCACGTTGCACAAATTCTATACTTCACTTATCCATTAACTTTGAAGAAGTGATCATGATCGTTTTTAATTGCTATTACTTGATCAAGAATATGATGGAATAGATAATTGTTGAACTAGTAATGCATGACCATAGTTCAGGTAACAGGTTTTTGAGAGAAAGTACGGTATAAGAGTAAAATTATGAGAAAGAATATGGTTAACATGTTATTGAAAGCTTTGCAACCGACAATCTCAAATGAGAGTATACTTCTGTTTATCATTACTTATCAAATTATTCGAGTGAAATACGTCAGATGCTTACCTGATCATATATTCTTTCTGGATGCGCAACATTATTCTGATCGCTGAGTGTTATAGCTGTATTTATGACACGCTCTGCCAGTTTCTTCAATTACGTTTTGTTTTACAATGAATTTGAAAAATCAAAAATTGTAATAAGAACTTTTCGTATTGTATAATACGATTAGGTAGTTAAAATAAATTTTCTATGCAACTAGTAGCAAAAGGACTCTTATATTTCGATGATCTTTTATCACAACCACATTTGTATACCCAAAGTTTCAAATAATTTTAGCCAGATATTTACATTGAATGAGATAACATTCGGGGTCCCATATTATTATATCTAGCATGGTTATAGTTAACCGACATATATATGACGTTTTCTTTGTGCGGCATTAGAAATAAGACACTCATAATCGCGACCACCTTTGAAACTACTTTTTAATCTCGCTCTAACTTTTACGTATTCTACTTAAGCTACTTAATATTATTCAGTAGTGTATTTGTGTTACACAATTTTAACAACTTGCGTCTGACCCATACATTTATGCCGTTGATCTGTGTTTTTTCGTTATTCTTTCACATTTTTTAAAAACTATCTGCTGCGTTTTACACGCTTCTAAAATTCATCCGCTCTGAATAGGTTGTCTATTTCTGAAACAAAGCAACACATCCGTTTGCAATAGTCGTGTGCCGTTCCATCATTTTCAGTACGTGCTGTATATATGTTTTGATTCGCTTTCCCGTTGGCTGTGATTTTGACGGCGTAATTGAGGTTTCAACATTTCACTGTATGAAATTGACTATTGCTCATCATTCCTATTGCTTTCTATAACAGTACAGTATTTACATATATTTCACATTTGATTCAAATATTACAACACGCAAATAGGTTGTTCAGTTAGAATTTCCAAACGGATTTTATAGTATGAATAATCTTTAAGTTAAAAGATAAGAAACATCCTGAAAGACACAATAGCAGACATAAGGTTGTTTTAAAGCACCAGCTGGCGTAAATATAACTTTCTTAATGTAACGTGATCATAAACCTCTTTCGTTTAGTTTACCACAAAGCATTCTCTCTATGACCTCCATAAGGTATCTCATATAACTATAGATCGCTTTTCTGAAACATTTCGAAAATCTTAGTAATAAATTTATTGAATAATTTTGCTCAAATCAGAGACGTTTATTGCAGGACTGTTGCCTATACACTCATCATGATCCATACATAGTAAGTCAATTCATTTGTCCATCTTAATAAAAGAAAGCCGCTTTGTCTCATAGATGTCTTATGTTCTGGACAAAAATGATCTATCAAGATAAAAAGTATGACAATATAAACGGTCTGCTCTTCTGTTTATAACATGTTACTTCTAGTCTTCTGTGATGAATAGCTTTCTTCCCCTTTTTGGAAATTTTTAATCTGATTGCTTCACATGCAAATTAACTTCTGTAGACAATTGTTTGATCTATACTTTGATTTGTTATTATCTTCTAAGCTTATATTCATATATCAATGATATGAATGAAGTAATGTAACGAGTTGCAATTAAAACTACACTAGCTTTAGATAATTAATTGTTTTCTTTTTGTAATTTATTATAATAGCATTTTTAAATTAACCGTTAGAATTAGAGTCAGTGAAGGATTTCTGTTTAAAATCAAAACATAAATTGATATTGTACCTACTTTTACCCCTACTGAAACATTGATATAACAAAATATTGAGAACATTTTGAACATTGGCTTATCATTCTAACATTTCTTATATTAAGCACGGAAGAATATAGTTTAAAGTGATGTATGTAGAAATAATAATTAATAAAGTCCGTGTCGGGTTGAAATTGTAATCCACCTTAGACAATGGATAAAGGGTTGCGCCAGCTCAGTGGCCTATAGGTTTGTCGTTCGCACGCGAGACCAAATGTCCTGGCTCCTAGTCCTACTTGCGGGACTGTAGATGAGCACTGCCGAGTCCCATACTAGGATGAAACAACCGTCCAGTGCTTTCAGGTTTTCAATGGTGGTCTAGCTTACATCGACTCATGAATCCAACTAATAAAATTACTACAATCTCCAGAAATCCCCATTCCAATAAAGACTAATACCTTGGAAAAAATTTTACAAGACTTATTATTCATGTATATTCTTATCTACATATAGAGGAAGTATTGCCCAGAGTATATGGAACATCAGTACTCATGTTGACACATTGTTCTGTAAACAAAATATAAGTAACTTGTAATTTAATTCTTTAGAAAGCTATGCTTAAGTCGCCTGCGAAATATATCGTCGTTCCCTAATCGCTAAAGAGTAATCATTAGACATAACTCACTGAAAAATCACGTTCCAATCCTGAAATTCCTTGTAAGTAGTCCAATATCTCAATATTTCCTTCAATATGTTCCTACAATAAAAAATTTTATTCATTTTAATGATATTTTATATTATCAACTTACAGATGTATATATTGAAACCAAAAAAGGGAATCTTTCATCAAGCATTGCTTCTCTATTTCAAATATTTACTAACACTGCTAACCACTATCCATCTTTGCTTAAAATGCTTGGGACTTAACGCAATATTGAGGCAATACGCACAGTATTCAATGACAATAACAGACTGGTCAATTGCAGTCGTAAACATTAATGGGAAGATTTGAGTAAATGAAATACTTTATTTGCAAAATGTTTATCAGTTGTCTCAAACTTGACTGTTCCTTTCGCGAATGTCAGTCAATCGTCTCAGACTTCAGTGTTCAATCCGAGATAGAAATAAGCATTTAAAATCAGAAAACATGAACAAAAGTAAATAAACCATACAGTATTTGGCATATGGCTAACAGTAAGATTTATGACGTGTGTTTCATTCTATCTGGAACACGTTGACTGGACATTCCTGAAGCCCAGTATTGATGTTCATGTTGACACGCGAATCCAGCACTTTTCATTTTGAACGCTCAAAGTATTTTCTACTGAGATACTGAGAATATTGAAACTGAGAGTGAGGAAAGTTCAGTTAATGAGTCCTAAGTACGACGAATCAAATGATTTGAATTTCATTTTTAGCCATTCACTAATAAGACCATAACATGTTGTAGTGGATGAGAACATCAGTGAGTACAACCGAATGTATTTGAACACAAAATTACCGAATCTCATTGTAAAATCTGAGAACTGCACAATATTTTTTCATTTGCAAAATGTCAGTCAACTGTCCCAGACTTAACTGTTCTTTCGTATCTACATAAATTATCCTTTGTTCTCATTTTCTTCCTTCGATCTTCTTAACCTTCTGCCGCCAAACATTTCACTTTCGACTGATGATACATACTACTTATATTTGTCGACATCAGTAGCACACATCACAATATCATAAATCTTTTTTTATTCACATGCTATTAGATAAATATTTAGTGATATTTATTTCAGTATTGCTTTTTTGTATTTATTAATAAACTAATAATTAAACTCACTTTTAACATTTCTGTTCGTTTCATCATTTCTTCTTGTATCGAATTGTCCTACAGAAAAAAAAATCATAATAAATATTTCACAGTTCTTTTAAACAGTTTGCAATAAGATTCACAAATTTGTGTTGATAATTTCTAGTTCATAATATCAAGATGAAAGTTTGGAACATTGGACGCCTATTCAATGATCAGGCGTCACCACATTTTCTGAAGACTTCATGTTAGTTTTAAAATGTGCGCTGATGAAGAATCTTAGGCATAGACATAATATCGGACCAGTTCATTCTGAGTTTCAATGGATCTCCAATTTATATCAATTCAAAGTGAACAACATTTACAATCCCTTTTTTACTATATTATTAGGTATTTAGGTCTTTTATTGCCGGTTTTTTAAGTTGTCTTGAATATAGATGACTGATTAAAGTAAAATAAAAATTTCTTCAGATAACAAAACATTAAGTCTTCCTCAAACACCATTCGTGAGGTCCCTTAATCTTTCTATTCAGCCTTTTAGGGTCACCGACGAATGATTTAGATTCAGTAGATTTGAAAATTATTTTTTTGTTAGCTTTATTCAGCCACACATGCGCACTTCTTCCAGAAGTAGTTGCAGATAGCATGTGAGAAGATTTAGTTAAACCGGATCCGGAAAAGCCCTATGATGTACTAAAGCAGCCCTAATAAAAGCCATATCTTCCATTGACCAACATGCTACTGACCAGCTTTTCAATGAGATTCAAATGGGGTATGAAACTCTTTTACTGCTAATAAAATATATAAAAAGTCTACCTGGGGACAGAAAAGTAGACAACTCATTTTACCATCTTTGACCCTGATGATTTCCTTTGATTAAAAAGAACAATTTCAGAGTGTGAAGCTGAGAAAATAAAGTTCAAATCATACAAGGAGGATCAGTTGCGTCAAAACTGCAAGTGTCCTTAACCGACAATGTCAACTAGCACGAACTTAAGTACAGAGATTTATGTTAACCACCTTAAATCACCTGACAATTGTCTGGTGAATAAAATACGAAATTTAGTTAGATTGAAAAGACCAAAAACAAAAGTCTAATCAGGACATGAATTCTCTTTATGTAACTAGGTTCCCAACAATTGTTTACAACCTGTAGTGTTCATAAAGTGTTATAGGTATACATTTAGATTTAGATTTATGTGTTAAGCCTTTCAACTGATTATCCATTCTTATACTATCTTGGATGATTAATTGTTTTATGTTTCATACAAATCAATGAGATAGTGATAACTTTAATTCGTGTGACCAGTTTTTTTTTATTTTTAACAAGGTAGTCTTGGTTTAACTTGTTTTGTGGATGTGAATCACCCTTTACTAGTTGGCTGGATTAAGTGAATTCTCGTTGGATTTTGAAAGAGCTTACTGATAGGGTACATCACAACCAAAGGCTGTTATTTCATCATCCTGATCCCATTTTAAGTTAAATTAGGACATCTCAAATAATCCTTCAAAGATACATTTCACTTATCTTTGATACCAATATTACAAAGTGTACTAAAAGATCACCATATTCAGATATATGTTATTAAGCTTTTTGATATCGTCAACTTCTTGGAAAATATGTGTTGATCGGTATGTCAATTACTCATGTCATTAAAATGGGAGTTCAAACATTTTACTAGGATAACTAAAAACATCCATGAATTAATCTAGATTAAATTTGTTTGATATCGGAAGCAATTCAAGTCACAAAATATTGTTAGTTTCTACAACTACAGTAATAGTTAAAAGCTATATGATGGAGCCATTTGGTTAGAACCAATATACACAAAACCCTGGATACGAGTACACTGCTTTACTGGTGGTGTTTTCATATCACTTTAAAATCATTAGATTTTCATAGTCACAACCGTCATGGAAGAGAATATACTTAGGTCTGGTACATAATTACTAAACTCACCTCATTATTAAAGCAGAATAGATTTGAATATACATCATATAACCGTCTCTCATTTTGAATAGATGAAGAGCGGACATCATGTTGAATTTTTCGAACAAGTGCATCCTTTTATCGAGAATAGTTTTAAGAAAATATTAAATGGGATCAGGTTGTTGAGTAGTTTGGTGATGCTTATGCAATTATTTGGATCTTTGCATTATATCAGATTCATCTTTACGCACTTAACGTGGCTTAAAAGTTTCGACTAACCTTTGCATAACTAAAGCTCATCTCCTTCATCATTGTGGTTATAAACCACTTATAACTGATATTAAATTATTATTAATCCTAAATACTATTGTAGCGTTAGGTACAGTATAGTAACAGTGATATTATATGTTCTATTGAAGTCTCATAGACTAATGTTTTGTGGATTCCAATTTATGTGGAATCAGAATTTTGAACTCTATTACTTCAGTATTATTTCAGACTCACTAGTATGAAAAAAGACAGGTGATGTTGATAATTTCGTCTCACTGATTTACTCTGTATCATATGATACCAGTTATTATACTTCAAAAACCGAAAAAGTTCAGAATGACTTCCTAGAAATTTAGTGACTTTGATAAATCTACGTTCTTTCTCATCATTCTGCTGCAGTGCGAAATCTAATACTAATTGAGATGTATGTTTAAAAACAATTAACAGTCGTGACGTTTCTAGTTTTATGAAATGGTTCCTTTTTTATTTCTATATAAGTTTCATCGATATCTTTCATGTTTAGGTGTCAAAGCTTAAAACGGTGATATGATGTAATGACATGTGACATTCTCAGTTTTTTAGTTTTTTTATTTCAATTCATTCAAATATCTAAATAAGGCAGATTTTAGGGCTATAATTTCATTTTATTGTATTTTATGGCACGGTACTTCACTATATCACATGTAAGAATGGTGGAGAAGATTTGTAGCTCATGTGGATGATTTTGATGGAGTTTTGTTCTCTGAATTGGATGGTTTGGTTACGGAGCTTTCATCGTTAATCTGAACGACATCATAGAAGTAAACAATGACAAATTTAAGGTCAATAAGAACCAATCAACGTCGAGGTGTACAGAACAAGCTGTGAAACGCATATGGAGAAATTCTAACGCTTCACTTCTATCTGAAGTTTGTGCTGATGATGTCGTTCAGAAGAATGATGAAAGCTCCACGACCAAAATATCCAGCTCAGAGAACAAAACTCCATCAAAATCACATGTAAGAATATTTGTATTTCTTATATTATTCAAAATTAGTAACAAAAATTATGCTTCATTATGTCGTTTTTTAAACATGGCACCAAACTAACGTTGATTTTAGAACTAAATAACAAGTTACTGTCTTTAATGACCATAATTATCGAAGTGTTGACTTTTTCTGGAATTTTCAAAGGAAAAGCTTCCTTGTTATTTAAATAAAGCAAGAACAAATAATGGTGCAGAATAGTATGAATTCATATTATTTCGAGGTTTCTATTCTGCACCATTATTTGTTCTTGCTTTATTTAAATTCATAAAGGGAACGAATTGCATGAAATTCCTTGTTATTATTGTTTCCTTATTATGAAACTCAAAACTAGATATTTAGTTTTAATACATGAAATGTATTTCACTTATGCAAAACCTTTGAAAATCCACATTAGTTTTCATATAGCATTTTACTATGGTCTAGCCTCAGTTGTATGACTACCTCATTATTAAATAGTACAGATATTTCAGAAGCAATTTATACAAACATGGCAAACTCTTATAAGAATTTAATATTCTTCAAACAAAAATAGATTAAAGCAAGCGATTTAATGCCACTAATTTAATGATATTCATATGATTCCATCTAAATTGGGCCCATTATGCTGATATTCATTGAACCTTCGAAAATTCAACTTGAATCAAGTAACTAGTTACAGAGCAATTGATCTTTTCTCAGCTTATGATGGCTACATACTTTATGAATTTGTAGTACCTTTTTAGGTTTATGTAAATTACTATGACAACAGACATAGATTCCCAATTCAATTTAAAATTAGACATAAAGCATCTTCATTTTAAATAGTTTTAATTATTACAAATTTTTAATCTTAACTAATTTCTTATAATTTCGTTACTATCGCAATGTAATAGCAACTTTATTTACTAAAAAAAAATTTATGTTAAATTGATTTGACGATATGCTAATTTTTTTAAGGTTTCTATACAAATCAATGATAAATGTGCCATTTTTTTTCACTATCTGCCAATTATGTTATGCACATTTTTTGTACTTCATTATAAATTCGGTCAGTTTTACAGTTTTATTGAATGTTCAATAAATTAAAATGTATTATATATTTAAGAAACTAATTTGATGATTCATTTTATACCATCATAACAAAATAATATTGAATCTATGAGATAAAAGGTATAGTGTTATGTAAAAATTACTTTTCAAGCCTATGAGTATTCTATTACTTAATACAATAATGATTTGAAACTTTAATAAAGAAACAGAAAATAAACAAATTTTATTGAATGTCAATGATTCAATTCATTTTGTTTACTTAATTCATTGAAAAGTCATTTGATAGTTGTTATTTCACAAATAGAGTGAAGTTTTTTTTTAAAAAAAAGTAGACTATTACATTTGAATTTTGTGATTAAAATGTTTTGTGTTCACTAGTAGAATGATTTTGTTCCTGGATTCAATCTCATGGTGGAATATAAAAGTAGTTGTTTTTGGGAATAAATTAAGATGAATAAGAACTTTCGTCTAAATTTGAACGAATAGTTTCACAATATTTGGGATATTTGAGACATTAAAGAGGAAGAATTTTTAAGTAAATCCAACGTTTCGCCTGGCAATCTGGTTCAAGCTTTTTCAAGGAAAATATAATCAAACAACAAAATTATCGAATATAAATAGGTACAAGGTTCTTCGGTTTATTGTATACTGAATAAGTCATCCAATCAACGTGAAGGATTTTTATATAAATAGGTATTTAAATTAATGTGTAAGAGACGATTCTTAGTGGTTAAGTGCTCGCGCGCGAAGCCAGTAGGTTCTGGGTTCGAATCCCGCGGGGTGCGGGGTCGTGGATGCGCACTGCCGAGGAGTCCCATACCGGGACGGAACTTTTATTTGTTTGACCTTTATTATTTTTCATATAAACATGTTTCTTACACATTAATATAAATACCTATTTATATAAAAATCCTTCATGTTGATTGGATGACTTATTCAGTATACAACAAACCGAAGAATGTTGTACCTATTTATGTTCGATAATTTTGTTGTTTGATTATATTTTCCTTGAAAAAGCTTGAACCAGATTGCCAGGCGAAACGTTGGATTTACTTAAAAATTCATTCGTTGAGATTTTACAAATATATTTTTCTTTTTAAATTAGGATGAAGTTTGTTTATTCAGTACAAACTTATTTTGTGAAATGACCATCTTAAATTATTTGCCAAAATTACATTTACTTAAACTGTTCTCTAGTTAATACCTTTTAGTGTTGGTTGACATGTTAAGCTCATATATTTTATTCTAGCTTTCGGATAGGTCAATTTATTCATTCTAGTTGAATTGTACTTTGACCTTGTTAATTATTCGCTTATCAACCTTAACTGTTTTTATATGATTGCATATGTATGTGCCCTACTTATCCCATTCATTAAATGTCTGTAGCTTAATTTAGTGTGACTATAAATATTGATTAATGCTTGGTTAAATGGAGTTACCTTACCCACCATCTCCACTGCGTGTCGTATCGCTTCGCTCTTTTTTCTTCACTTCTCCGATATTTTGTCTGGGTCAAAGATCGTATGAAATATATATGTTCGAAATTCATTCTCGTATTTGACTTATTTAATTCCGTTATTGACTAATGCGATTTAAGTCGATGATTATATACGAGGATAGGCGATATATACATTGCGACAGCAATCATTCAATAACAATCCTTCACGCGATCTACTTGGAGTCATATCCTGAGCCACTAAAACCTCATTTTGAAAAATAATGTACTATTCACCAGTTATATTTACTAGTCTAATGAATGATGCATCGAATTGTGAAGCTATAATAACTAGGTATGAGTTTCTTTATGAATAGTTATGTCAATTTACAGATGCCTCAGTCTGATAGATTATAAATTACTTCTTAATACAATTGAATTATGAAATCAATTTGTTTTGTAAATAAAAATTTATTCAAGAAGAATAAAACTTACATCATTTGCTTGTAATTCTGACATGATGCTAAAATAAAAGACAATAATTATGCAATAGAATTATAATTATTTTCAATATTCTTAAGTAAGAAAGTATAACTACATGAATAATATAACATGTTAACTGTTTATTTCATAATTAAAATGTACAACAATTAAATTCATAATGATAGGAGATTGTTCATTAATATTGCCTACATTATTTAGTCATAGTCATTTTGATCCAGAAATCTAACTGTTGTGGATGCGAAGGATAGACCAATAATTATCATGTTAAGTCCAATGGTGTCCTTGGACTTTAAATGGACATTTCCTACTGGTCGATATCTGTCCACTTGTTGAATATGGTACAAAATGTTGTTTTCTATTTTTATAGTACGATGTGGTATGTTTGGTTAGTATATAAATAGAGTATGTCTGAAATACAATGATTCATAACTCAGAGGCTGAGATTTGTGTTCTGGACTCAACTGGCTGGGATAGACAGGGAATCGGGACCAATCGTAACTCTAGGTCGTCCATTACGTTCGTACGTGTTTACATGTCATTGAATCGGTCGATAAATACGCTGCTCTCTAGTTTTTTTCAGTCAAGGACACAACAATTAGCACAGGGTAAAAATCGACCCAACTTAAAGTCACAACACTAACGATAAACGAATTAAATCTTATTTAGATACCGAAGAAAAGAAATTTAGTGAGTTACTTAAAAATGAAGAAATCTATTACTTTTTAATTTATGGATACTGATTGTATAGATCTTACATTTGATGTTAAGATTTGAAATCGATTAGTCACTTTTGACAAATGTACATCTTGGGATCGAGTACTGGAGTGAACATCAACCTCAAGATAATGCAACTACATCAAGCTGGCGAATCCAAAATAGAATGAAGCGTGCGTCCTGAATTCTACTTCTAGCCACCATTCATCTCTGCTTAAAATGTTTGTGACTTACTGGCAATATAGAGGCAGTTCACACAGGTACACATATGCCAAAAAAGAAATTGATCAATTGCAGTCGCAAACATCAGAATAAATATTCAAAAAACCAGTGCAAAGATGAATTAAATGTCATCCATTTCACAAACCAATGGCTATCCAAACTCAGTAGCCAGTTGAATAACGCATTGATGTTTGAAGCGAACGTTACAGGGTTCGAGTCCCAGAGTGAACATAAGACCGGACTCAAACAGATCCAACTGACGAAGCCCAACTTAGACGAAAAGCTTGTTCTGGATTCCACTTCTAGCTACCACCTATTTTTGCTTAACATTTTCCACTTTGTTGTTAAATAATTTCTGAAGTAAAACTACAAAACTAGGAACAGAAGTTCAGATTCAACCATAAAACTGTTTAAAATTCAGTTATTTCCCATTTCCACAAACAGCTTCGGGTTTTATCAACCACTCAGGAATACTTAAGTAAATTTCATTCATATATAAGTTTTCTTACAAACTAGGTTATATTTCAAAACATATACTAAAATTAACTTCATTAGCAAGATTATTACTCACTGTTCGCTAATCTGTCTTCTTTCAAAGTGATTTTACTGCGTTTAACGTAGCTAGCTTGCTAAGCTAATGGATTATAGTAGTTGAAATCATAAGTCAATTGAAGCTAGACCACCATTCAAAACTTTGAAGCACTGGACTGGTGTTTCGTCCTAGTATGAGTTTCCCCAGCCGTGTGAATCCACGATCCCGCCCCCCGCGGGATTCATGGATTGGTTGAAGTTAGCCATCAACACCGTTGGATGCCGGCTCAGTGATCTAATTGGTTAAACGCTTGGCGCGAGACTGATAGGTCCTGGGTTGAACCCGCGAGGCAGGGTCATGGATGCGCACTGCTGATGGGTCCCATACTAGGAAGAAACAGCCGTCCAGTGCTTCCACGTTTTTCATGACGATCTAGCTTCAATTGACTCATGATTTTAACTATTGACATTACTAAAATCTTCAAAACCCCCTTCTGATAATAATTTATTCACATACGATTCTGTTCTAATAGTTTACATAAACTAAGTTATAACTCAAATAATCAATTTTTACTTTTTTTTCTAAAAAAATAAATCAGTTTAGATATGTTAATTTATTTCATAACTATCTATGTGTCTCAATGGCGATACTTCTGAAAACAAAAAAAACTTTTTTAAATGTTATTGATGGTAACTAAGCAAATGGAAATGAATATTGTCATTAAATTAGCATAAAACTTTTGTTTGGCAATATGTTTTCGGACTTATAATACCCTAACTTCAAAACAATAATCGTCTTAATATTAATAGTTTCTTCTAAGAACTAATTTTAATTAAACAATCAATTTCCAGATTTGCTTCAGTGTTTGATTCTGTGTAAAATTATAAATTCATACTTTTGATTAGTTCTAAACTAATACGATATTTGTGTTAAATTTAGCCTATTTTACAATGGTTTTGTTAGTCGTTGTTATTTCCTCAATATTATATCAGTCAGTCAGTCAGCTACAAAGTAGGACCAGGCACATATATGCATCGGTCCAAGTTGCCATGCCTCATTAACACAACACGATGGACACCGGATTCATAAAAGTAGTTAATTCAGAGGTGGTAATATATAAAAGAAAGATTGCATATAAGGATATAGTACAGGAAGAAAGAATTAGTTCGTAGAAATAAAGGTATGAAGCGATTTTAATCTCTTAGTTTAAGGGAAAACAGGGAGTGTATACACCGACGCCATTGTGATCGATTCTGAGCCATGTCACCAAGAGTCTCCAACCATTGGTTACGATAGTCACACGGACCCCAACCAAGTAGTCTGCATCTACCAATATGGCTCAGATCAGAAGTTAGTGACTTCAAGCACTGATGCCACGTTTTGGTTTGGCCGCCCCTAACTTTCTTCCAACCATCTCCAACACCGGTTAGCATTGCACGTTGTGGTAATCGGTGTTCAGGTATACGTAACACGTGGCCCAACCATCTCAGTCGATGAGGATTCACAACCCCATCAACTGATTTACCATCATTCCCTAATATCCTGCATATAACTTCACTATTACTTACCCGGTGATCCCAGCAGATGCCAGCAATATTATATCAAGGAAAAAGTAATGTTTCATTTAATAATAGAATAAACATCTCGAACCATTTAAGAGGCAAAGATTATAAGTACTGGTTTGAGAAACTTTATTTGAAATGTAGCTCAAATAATATCGCAGTGATAGCAATAAATACATAGGAACAATAAACATTTAATAACATGATTATCAAACAAAATTTCGAATATGTTCTTTTTTAATCATATTTAGACTATCAATTATTATCAGTTATGCACTCGTTTAAACAATAGAGGATTCAATGAATTTTGATTTGGTTATTTATTCTCTGAAGACGTGGTTTACACTAAATCACGAAACGTCAGAAAATCTAGTTTTTCTACTCATTGGGATATTTCAAATATATTATTCACTTATTTATAGAGGACTTAATAGTTTTACGGAACTTTACTTTGTTAATTAAGCTTTATATTGAATTACTTATGATGCATACATCTATAAAGAAATTCAATAGTATTCATGAATACTTTCCATAAAAATTTCATGGTCGTATACTGTTTATCTATTTTAGAAGAATAAGCTATTCAGTGCTATCCAGTGATCTACTTAATAACAGATTAACATTTGAAGTGATAAGTACCAGGTTCGAATCTAACTAAAGATAACCACAATGAAATATATTTATATTCAACTAACAATTGTCAAATAAAGTTTTATTTTAAGGATTCAATCATTAGTGTAACAGCTGGAGGATTTGTGGAGATCGTAGTAATTTTAATAGTTGAATTCATGGATCAATTTATGCTAGACCACCATTTGAAAACTGAAAGCACAGGACGGTCATTTAATCCTAGTATGGGACTCCTCATCAGTGCACATCCACGATCCCGCACTTCTGAGAAGTCCCACAATAGGATGAGACAGCCGTCCAATGCTTCCAGGTTTTCCATGGTGGTCTAGCTTCAATTGACTCATGATTTCAATCTATGAAATTTCTAAAATCTCCACAAACCTCTTCTGAGAATATCTTTTTACTATAGATATGAGTAAACTTAAAAGATAAGAATCACTTCGGTTTAAAATCATCTCTATACTTTATTGAACAATGAATATTTTAGTTGAGTAATTTTATGGAGAGAAATAAAAGTGTAAAAATATTTCAAATAATAGAAAGTATGTGATAACTTACTACTTTCTTCTTGGAAAAGTAATTAGATTTGATTGTTTAGATTTATTGAAGATACTTTGAACTCATGTCAGTAGTAAATTATATTTATTTAATGAGTCTAGTTTTAATTCGAAATGATCATTTTTATGTTTATGTTGGAAAAAATGAAATATTCTTATAGACCAGTAAACTGGAAGACACTACTTATTCGATTAATTAGAAATAAATAAGTTGGGACAACATAAGCACACGTAAAAACACACACACAGACACGTGTGCACAATTGTTACTCATGTCGATGGAAAATGATAACCAATCACAGTGAAATAGTGTATTGAACTGAAATATTGAACAAAGACAATCAATTGGTTGTGCTCGTGAAATTGTGAAATGTTTTTCTTTACTCTATCTATTTGTTTCTCTATTAAACTATGAATAATTCGGCTAGTGTAACATTTTCTGAATATCTAACCTGTAATTATAAAGTTATGTTAGTTAAGTATAAATGTGCAAAGCAAAATTAGAAAAATCAGAAAAGAATCTAAAGATTAAGTGATTTTTTTTAAACAGATTGTTTGTTAAGTTGCCATAGTAAATTGCAGGTTATATACAAATATATATACAAGTAGAAGTCTGAATAATCTCTGTGTTAACTGGAGAATTCCGTTCTTCAATAAATAGATTCACACAGATACATTGTAAACATAAAACGACTTAAGGTTCTGACAGAAAACGCTAGAGAGAGAGAAAAAAACACTGATCAGTGATCAACAGATTTTATCCTTAGTGAGAGTTGAAATAATTACTAACTCCAGTCACCATTTGTCACTTGACTCATGTTAGTTTCACTAAAGATAATACATTAAAACTGGATTATTGACATCTAACTTGACTTGGAATAGTGAACCCAAGTTTCTTTATGAAAAACACCCACTGATAAAAAATCTTTTGTACTTAATTTATTTCAGTAAATAAGTATTTAAATTACTTTTGTTTTAAATCTCCTTCATCTTGCATGCATTATGCTCAATAAAATATATTCACAACAGTCGTTAAATTAATCAACCTTTAATCAGTTTGTTGAAATACAAGAAGGATTTCGTGCTTATGTTTTCACTTACATTTGATTTGGTTTTATTAATGCTGACTGTCAAAGACAGTTTAATTATTTACAGTATTCGGTTGTGAAGATTGTTAAGTATCATTTAAGTCATGGACCGATCAGTGTTAGACCACTACTAAAAACCTGGAAGCAGTGGATGGCCGTGTCGTCCGAGCATAGAATTCTTCAATGATACACATCGTGGATTGGTTGAAGTTACGTTTTAACACCGTTGGATGTCGACTCAGCAATTTAAAGGTTAGGCCTTCGTGTGTGAGACCGAAAGTCCGGGGATAGAGTCCCGCTAACCGGGTCATAGATGTGTATTGCCTGGAAGTCCCATATTAAGACAGAACAGTCGTCCAGTGTTTCCATGTTTTTAATGGTGGTCTAGCACTGATCAGTTCATGATTTTAATGAAAAATTTAATCAATTATATACAGAATGTCGATTTGATAAACATACTGATTATACTTGAATTAGTTATTTTCTGAAGTTGAGATTGACAGAACAAAAACAAAAACAGTTTTAATAATAATAATAATAATAATCGTAGAATAAATAATAATGTGGGGGTAAACAAACGTGAGAGCATGTATCGAAATATGCGCACTGAAATTTATAATCAGACAGTTGAGTATGAATCTTTCTGGTGACATAATGTTACAAATTACATCAACGTCATAAATTATGTATATACCTTTTGTGTGAGTAGTGAGTTTATTTATTGATTCCAGCGATATGTAAAAAGTATACATAATTCAAGAACCGAATTGATACATATAACAATTTAGAGTATTTGAAGATCAGATGTTTAGTAAATAATTTCATCATTCATTTGTAATGAATGACTTGTGATTATTTCTATGATTGTCTGTTTAATAAATAACATTTATTTACTATATGGAGAGATTAGTATAGTTAAGAATAGCAATTATCTTTACAAGTTACTATGAGTTTAATGAACTAAACAACAATTGATAATAATCACCTTCTGACTTGTTAATAGTTAATGTTCAATTAACATCTCTAAGGTTCTATCATCTTACGTACAATAGAAAGTTATTATTATTATTAATGACTTTGTACAATATTAAAATTTTGGTACAATATACAATTCTTAGCACAAAGTATTTCAACAAGTTTCTTTTACACAAAGAAAAAAAACGTGGAAGGAACAGATAACTACATACATATATAAGTTAGATAGATAAACTATCTAGAATAAGATGAAATGACTTTTATGAAGATTTGAATGTATACAACTTTTTAATTCGAAACATGACTAAGAATACAAGTTATTGACTAGGTCAACTCTGACAACCTGTTCGTCATATTGCAGATTTGCTTAATAAGGTATTTTCCAGCTTTTAGACTTTTATTTGAGTGCATTGATTCTAATGTACTGACGTCTCGTTCTACCAGAAGATATACAAGGAGAAAGATATGAATGGAAGGGATGGTTAGTATTTGATATGATAACATCTGCCAGAGGTTTGTAAAACTTTAGATGTCTATCCACAACCAAATTGACCTTGAAAGATTCACCACACACCTTGCTAACTGTCTTCAGCACTCTTCGTAATACAGAAAAGTCTTTTCTCAAGAGCCCGGGAAAGAATAATGGAGAGCAATAAGGAATAACAGGTAATATGCAAATATTGACAAATAGCAAGAGTGAATGTCAATTAACGCCAAAAGCACGCAGACTTTTTATGTAGTACGTCAGAAGGAAAACTTACTTCAATAACAATAAAACATGAAAAGGCCAATAGAGATCTGAATAAAAACTCACATCAAGATAAATGGCACTGTTTTTATAAAAGAATCTTCAATAGTACAAATTTTGTGGGATTACAACTGGTGTTTAGGTTCTCTTATGTCCCAGGCCGAAGTTAACAGTTTGACATTTAGACGGGTTAAGTGTAAGAAAACTCACTCATTACAAGGGGTTGTGAAGAGACAGAAACCGACATACATACAATGGGATCGTCTGTATATTTAATAAAATAGTTTTCTGTGGAAGATGGCAGATCATGCAGAATAAAAGAGAAAAGAAGAGGGGAGTGAACAGCTTCTTGTGGCATACCTCCATGAAACAGTAGAGACATCGAACACTGTCCTCTAAACACAATGTACTGTTCTCTCATAGAGAGGTAGGAACATAATTATTTGCTCATCCAGCCGTCGGTGTTGACGCTGATTAACTTGTTAAGTAGAAGTTGTCCTGGAGTAAAGTCGAAGGCAGAAGTACAGTTCAGAAAATGCATCGAACATACGGTTTGCCCTTTTTCAAGCTGAACAATAAATTATGATTCACAACAACAACAGCATCTAAGGTGCTTCATTCGTAAATGTAATCAAACTTATGCGGACCAGTGTGTTCTTTTAGTGCAGGTTAATGTGAGAGTAGCAATAATGCTTTCATTGTTTTGAGAAAATATGAAGTTATTGCTATAGATCTAGATCTCACATTCTTATCTCCAGGTACTTTTTTAGGTATTGTGGTGATCTTTATTTTTTCCACATTTTCAGTATAAGATTAGTTGAGAAGGATCTGCTAAAGATGCTCGTAAATAAATAACACAGAAAGTAAGCACACATCTTAAAAAGGGGTTTCGGGGTTTCATCAAGTCCTAAACATTAGGACGAGTTAAAAGACTGGAGACATTTTCGGACACCTGCTTCTGTGAAAGTTGGAACACAACTGTTCCTCAGACCTGTAAATATGGGAAGCATGATATCAGATGACTGACGTACAAAGGACTTAATTAAGTAGCAAATGTTCAGCTGGTTATCACTTATAATGTGCCTGTCACCTGAAATTCTTTAAATAGTTTCCACATACCTGAAGAGATTTTAAAAGATAGGAGTTTCTGAGCAAACAGTGAGTTCAGACTTCTAATCCCTAGTTTTATTAAACCATTCAGCTTTCGAAATCCAATCAAGTTTTTATCCTTGTATGTTCTTTCTTTTAACCTCCGTAATCATCTTAGTTGTGGAGGTGTAAGTCGATTAAATCTTACAAAAATCAAAATATCAAAAGAGAATTTAAGATAACATGTGATAACATCAACAGTGTTTTCCAATGAGTCAGCAGTAAACAATTCCCAGTAAGTCGTGAGAAACATGTTGTTTCCAGACTTAAGAAAATTTTCTTTTGAGTAAATCGTGTACTCGACTTTCTTAGTCTGATGTAAGAGTGTACTCCTTCCAAGCTTGCCACATACTTTAGATTGAGGACGAATCATACAATGATCAGAACTAGACAATGGAATCACATATATTTACATACAATTAATGAAAAGTAAGTCTATATGCAATTAGGAAAATCGACTTGATTTTGCTGACCTAGTGATGAAAGAAAGCTACAATCATATAAAGTAAAATTACCACGTACAACTGAAAGTAAGACATTGAGGATAGTAAAAGGATATTCAATGAATTTATCTACAAAAACGGACAGTGTAGACGACGTGCAGTCCGGAGTCACGTAGATGTTGGTAACATAAACGTGATTGTATTTATTCAAGTGTTTTGGACGGTATATTGAAGTTAGATAGTCGATAAAGTCATTTGCAAAAGTAGATCGACACCAGTTCACGTCTACAAATGTAGCTACACCGCCGCCACATCTTTTCATTACCTGATTGATCCTGAGAATAGATATTGAAATCTCATCGTGATACTATGCAACGTCAACCAAGATTCTTGATTTGTGATTACATAACAATTACGATATATGTTTTGACTTAGTAGGAATTAAAGATAGTCCACCCTGCCAATTATTGGTTGGCAGTTAGACGTTAGTAGTTCAGAAATCGATATCTGAATAATGTTCATCCTTTTCTATGTATATTACCAGCCACCACGATGTCTCTGATTGTACTTTTTTGTACCTTATAAAGTGATAGGTTGTAATCATCAAATACAATATCACTAGTATGTCATTTCACTTCATGAGTTTACATGAAGCATAAAGGAATGTTTTGTATTGAAAAACAATTCAACAGTAAATAAATTTGATTGATTTAAACACAAATATTTGCACAAAAAAGGCTAAAGCAAATAGGCGCTATGCAAATATCGTTAGAAATAATAAGGATGAATGAAACAAGACCATATTGAACACTAATATTTCATGAGTAAGACCAATATTTAACAATGTTACTTAACATCTCTAACAACTGATACAATGTGATCCAATAAATGAAACACCCATTATAAGTTTGCACCAAACTTGTATGATCTTTTTTTCAGTAGCTTCATAAATTGTTGACGAGTTTCGACTAACCTCTCTGCGAAACAAAGTAACTCTCAATGAATCTGATGGAGAATGATAATATTTTGCAATGATTTTTCCATTTCTT